AAAGCCAAGCACTGTGAACATTAGCCCTTTTGTTGATATTTTTTCGCCTTAAATGTGTAGGCCCACAATGCTCGACCTCCGCTTTCGGTTCAGCAGGCCCAGAAATTGGGCCGTCATGCAAACCGGGCCCGATAGGATGCTCTCATGTTCAGTATGTGAGCTTAGCTTCATAATCATGTCAACTTTTGTTTTTTTTGTTAGTATGATTTTATAACTGCTATTATATGTTTGTGATGTAGAGCCTTAAATTTCATGATGTATAGCTGCCTGTGTAACTGGCCATTACAGCTTTCACTGGATTTAGTGTATGGGCCTTGAAAGGCCCATTAAGATTGAAGTGGTAGCTGAAAAATGGGCTTTCTTTGAGATTCAGGAACATGGATTCACATTTTGCTTTATAAAACATGGGTTTCTACTTTCTAGGAGATTCAAACAGTTATGGGATATTATTTTCTATTTCTTTTTGGTTTTACAACAGTACAGTGGTGAAAAAAAATGTGGAAAAATGAATGNCAATACAATTGGTAATAATCAACAGAGACTAGTTCTCCGAACATTGCCAAAGAAAAATTAATTGGTATTGCAGAAAATGTTTTTATAATGAAAATGTGAATTTCTAAATAATTGGTATTGCAGAAAACATTTTTATAATGAATGATATTCATTTTGAAAAAATAAAAAAGAAAGGGAAAAAATGTGAGGTTGGGTGACTACTGTACTTTATTTATTTATTTTTTGTGTATATATAATCCTAATTTTTTTTTCTTAAGTTATATCTAATCATAGCCTTTCATTTTTTCCTTTCACAATGCAATTTACAGAAAAACTACTCCGTGCATAACTTAAACTTGGTCACATCAAGTTCATGTACCTTGAAATAATGAACATCCTTTTCTTGCTTTACATTATCTACTAACCATTTCACATAACTAACCTATATAAACTCTCGTTCTATAACAAAATAATATATTAAAAACTACAATAAAAATGACTTTACATAAATATTCATGCATTGCAATTGCATTAACGGCTCTCCTTATGGGCCTGTCAATCTGCTCGGCCCACAACCCCAGCCCTAACAACCCCGTAAGCAACACTAAACTCGCCGGAGATAAAATATCCATAACCGGTTGGGGTCGGTTACGCCCGTTTCCCCCTAAGAGCAACTCGAAACCCCCGAGAGATAAAATAAATGTCGGGCTTGAAAGAAATTGGGCCGGTTCAGGCCCGTACCTCAGCCCAAATATCCCTAGAGATAAAACAGCCCACCAAACGGGAGGCAATTGGGCCCATTCGGGTGGCGGGGACTCTAAGTGGGCCCCGCAAGACGGCGGCCCGTACTCCGGCCCAAGGTGGATACCGCCGTCGGGCGAGCCTGTTTACTGCCGCCCGGTAAATTGCGTCAATCCGTACAATTGCCCTGGGTTTACGGTGTACTTGAACCAGATTGCGGGAGCTGCTTACGACATGTCCGTGGATGCCACGCGTCAGCATCATGACGTGGCTGATGACGGCATGCCTCCTGAATCGGTGCATTGAGCTAATTAGAAATATTGGGCTCTTTGGAAATCATTTGAAGCTTATGCAGATGACTTTCTATGTAATAAGGTGCAATAATTAATTTAATATAAACTGATAGATAATGAATAAGACCATCAATTTCTAGGGCGTGTGGAATTTGTTCACTTCAGTTGTTTATTATGAAATTTATAATCACATGATATGATGATATGAATTTACTAATTATTTTAGATGCGGAATAACTAATTTTTATGCTTATATACTAAAAATATATGGATTAACGAACCACTATTTTATTGACCTCGATCGAGAACATATCATCAGGAAATTTCTCAAATAAATCTTACGTGCCTTCGTTTTTATTATTGGTCGAGAAAAGAGAAAAGTATACTAAGAGATAACTAAGAGTCTATATATACTACTCAAGTAGTAGGTTATCCTTAATCGCCTAATATTAGACATGTATACTCATCAGTAACTTCACAATTAGATAGTCAATGGACTTTTACCTTATTTAAATAACTTGATTTGGTCTATAAAATAATTGAATAACTTATATAATTGCATAATAACATACAGCCCATAATTAAATAATATTGAAAAATTAATATATCATATTGCTACACAGAGGATGCAATTCTATTTTGTCTCATTTGGTTAATTGATATTGCAATTGACAAAAGTTTAATTCANAAAACGGCACATTAGAGCTTCGATTTTCAAATTTTATATTTTTCAAAATTAGTCATGCAACAATTTAAAATGAAAATAAATAAATAAATGAATGTATGAATTTTTATTCAAATAAAATAAGTTAATAACTACCATGCAAGGCCTTTTATCCAGAGACTCAGCTCACTGATGTTTGTGGTCTTTAACTGATATTTGTGAGTTGTCCAAATAAAGACCCAATACAGATTTCACTTTCCAGCCCAATATTCAATCAGTCCAGGCCCAAACATAGAGTAGCTGAGCAGGTACCAAATGACCAAAACACCCTCTCACCAGGAACCATCCTCTTCTTTAGTCTTCACCTTCCTCATCGATGGCGGTTCCCAATATTTCCTCTCTCTCGTTTCATATGAACAAATTTGTCCAAGAAAGGTTTCTTTCCCATAAACCCAATACAGAAAAGGTGAATAATTTCGTGGGCAATTGATAATACAGGCAAAAGAAGAAAAGGGAAATGATTCCTGAGCAATGGGCGCCGCCTTGCAACAGTCAGTGCACCCACAAATACGCAGCTCTAATGCAAATCCCGTGTATGTTTTTCTGTTACGATATATTCCCTTTTTCAATTTCATGATTTTTTTTTTCTGTACACGCGGTAATGTTGTCAGATTAGAAGCCCATATGATTTTTTTTTTTCTTTGTGTTTATTATCTTGGATGATTGTGATGTTTATCGTTTTGAATGTCCGAGCTGTTGTTTGGGTTCTGTAAGGATTGAGGATTTGTTGCTCGAATTGAGTTTTGTAAACTTCAGTTATGCAAGTATTATAATGACATCAATTTATTTTTTCAATTCTGATAATGAACCTGCAAAGAGCTAGGAAATCTTAGGCTAGCCTGTGAGAATTTACAGAAAGGTACTGTTGTGTAAGGCATTGAAGCCAGTGTTTCATTTTTTGCTCGATAATTGCTATTTGACATTCTTTTTGTTGTCGAGTATGACTGTGAATTCGAACCAGCTAAAAGCTTGAAATGTTCGGATCGGACCATTACCACGAAAAGGCAATGATATGGTTAGGATAGTTTTGTAAGCTTTACTGGTCAAACTCAAGATGAGATGTTTTATCAAGAACTTTGGAGGAGTTGTGCAAACTAGACCCCTTGTGAAAAATCTGGCCCCATCAGTATGCTTGTTGTGCTTCCTTCATCCAGTTTCTTGATCTTTTTTCTTTTTCTATTTCCCATGGTACAATGATGTGTGATATCTGAATGAATATCAATTGGTCATCAGTGTATGTATCTATAAAGTTATATTTATTTTGACAATCAGCATAGAATCTTTCCTTTACTATGATGCGTATGGTTGTTACAAATGTTCGCGTAAAGGAGTGCGATATTTTTATGGACAAGTCCATTTATTGGTGCCATTTAGTTTAGTCCTCTTATATATGTATAAAGCTGAACACTATGAATGAAAATATTGGACAACGAAGAAAGCTTTTGGCTTGGTATGAGGTGATTTTTACTTTCTGATAAATTAAAAGGAAGCTTATTTGTGAATGTAGTTAAGTTGTTATTAGTTAACGATCGGAAATTTTGATTTGAATGTCGAATTCCTTTTCAGTGGCCGTTTTTGGGAGTTCATTTCCATGCAATATCAACAATATATCAACTTCCAATGGATTTACATATTTTAAGCTAACTGACTATTCTCCGGGTTTTTATAGGGAGAGTGTTTTGCAAAAAGGGATGTGATGCTGATGGTGAGACATGGGATGAATGTAAGCTTGAATTTCCTTCATATAACTTTTTGCTTGTTTTCTAAAGTGACTGCTAATGTTGAGAGACTATATTTCGGAGTTAATTTAATTTTAGAGTTATTAATCTTCTTTGAAAGAATTAATCGATGGCCATTGAGTGATCAGGTTTGGGCGAGTGTGACGAGATATGCTACAAAGACCCTGTCCTGAAGGACAAGCAATGGAGTGCTTATATTGATCGTTCGCCTGGTTCGGCTAGCTATTCTGAGGTTAAAATGCCGCTTTTCACTTTCAAAATTATTAGTTACTACCATATTTCATAATTTCTTCTTCAAGCAGTACAAGAAAAAAAAGTCTTGAAAAATGCATCTTAATTTGTGTGTCCTTTGGTGCACAACAGGAATGCTTTCGTGCTTGCGTATCTGGCTGTGGTTACAGGGTTAGTTTAATTGTATTAATTGAAAGCTTTCATGTTTATGAGTTCTTGCTAGTTTTCATGTTGGTTGGGAAAACGTAAATCGACGCAGATAAACCAAAACTTGTTACTAGGAAATAACTGCTACTAGTAGTACGATACCCGTGTACTACATGTGTATTTTGATAAATTATTAAATGTACAACAAAAGATGAAAGAGAAAAAAAATGTTTATATATTTTGTTGATGTTGGGAAAAATAAATAAGGAATAATATATAACAATTTATAGTTATAAAGAATTGAGTGAATTAACAAAATTATGCGAAACTGCCAGCGTAATATTTTGCCGCATAAGACTACGAAGCATGCGAAACTGCCAATTAGGATCCGCACATTCTGTAATTATATATAAGGGAATATGATGATTGGGTTCGGTAAGAAGTACTTATAATTTTAACAAATGTCTGATTCCGTAATGCGGATAGCCTATTGTTGCAGAGTTTTAATAATTTCTTAGAAACAAGAAATTAAAACAAAGAAATCAATTACGTCAAATTTGTTTCTATTTCCAAAAAAAAAAAGAAAAAAAATGCTTATAAATATTTAGGCATCCTCGAACTTGATTCTCTCTTCCTTGCGCATTGTTTTCTATAGAGAAAAAATTTTCAAGACGTGCCTTTATGATAAACCACGACCACAAGTCCTTGGATGCCATAGCTATATATGAGGAACAAATATTTGCGATAAAAATGACTTCATTATTGTTATCACACAATACTTTTTATAGTCTTGTTTCATTCTAGTGTGTTTATTTAATTTGATTTCGGATATAATTTGACCGCTGTTTATATGGACTGCAGTTTGATATGCCTCTAGAGAAAATCAAACAGGTTCACTCGAGACCACCAAAGCCTCCCCCTGAAGAGAAGCCCACACCATCACCACCCAAGACCAAACCCAGGCCCAACTCCATTCCCGGCCCAGCCCAAGACGAGATGCCTTGCACATCCGCATAGCTATGGTACTCATAATATATTTCACGCAAAAAAAACCCGGAAAAGAAAAAAGAAAGAAAAAATTGAAGAAGTTTTAGGTTCTGATGGTTTCATTTCAGATTTCTTTGAAAGTTATCTACCCTGCATTATATTGTTGGGATTTTTTACGTTGATGGTGAATTTTAGAACATGGAAGATTAGCTGCCCGGCATTATATTGTTGGAGCTTTTGACGTTGACGGCAAATTTTAGGACTTAATCATGAAGATAAGATAATCTATCTATTTTTCTTGTATTTTCTTCTTC